TAGTAAATATGTATCTTTTACTGTGTAGTTAAGGCAAATCGCCTTAGGCTTGTTATTTTATAATCTCTGGTAGTCTGTGCTATGCTCTGTATTGAATAAAAATTATTCTGATTGTTAAATGGTCTCTGATGTTGTACCTGAATTCCAAGGCTAAATCTTGTGGCCTAAACGCTCACCATATACGCTACTATTGGAGAGTAAAAAGTGTGCATCTCTGGGAATGAGTTGCTAATGTGTTAAATTCCAGATACCAACTGAGAGTCTGAGAGTTTGAACCTCTAATCTCAGGTTGGAAGCGGGAACTAATGTAGAGGTTCTGGTGGCATATTGTTCTGAAACCAGAGAGGGTTTAGTCCATCTCGTGGGTTGTTGTTTAATGTACTGGAAAAGTACAGGATTCCCTCCCATTCCTGAACTGGCTTGGGTGGGCAAATCCTGTACAGCGAGTAATACCAGCTTGTCTCCATTTAGAAAAGATTCTCATCATGAGAAACTACAAAGACTCAGAGGTGTGGAATACATTTAGAAAATGTTAATACATCTCTTCCAGCTGAACAGGGAACTATAATCTTCCACACATGTGAACTAATTGTAAAATCCTGATAGCTTAATCCCTAGATGGAGGATTTCAGAAAAATGCCATCCAGTACATTGACAACACCATTGCAACCTTAATTTGGGCACAGATCAAGGCCAAATGACAGCCCTGAACTGGAAGTGCTTCAGCTGGTGAAAGAACTTGAGAAATTTCCAACTGTACAATCAGAATGTGAAAAGCAAGCTTCTGTCAAGTCATCTTTGGTAATGCATGGAAAGCCAAGTACCTGTCACAGCAGCAATGAAGGAACTCTGTGGAGTAACCCACAAATATAGTCTCCCAACCCCAGTGGACCAGACACATGCAGTCAAGTGTGTTGAACAAAAATGAAGGCACCATATGGCATCAGTTCCATAGATAGATAACAGCCTCCATTTCTACAGGCTACTATGGGAAAATATGTGGTAGGCTGGGACCAAGTGAGACCAAGTGGACCACTAGACCAGAGACCAGTATGGCTGCTGAGCATCTACTAACAGGACTTGAATCAAAACCACTGCTAGGAAGAGAAACAGTCCTTTAATATTCAAAATCTGAGAAATGAGGGGAAGGTGGGGCAGACCATTCTTTCTTGATCTTCTCCACAAAATAATCTGGACAGGAAAACATTTGATTACAGTTCTTTTCCTCTAAAGTATATCTTCCTGGCCCATTTATTTATTTACAACTTTTGTATGCTATCTTTCTGCCCAATGGGGGCTACCAAAGCAGCATAAATTTATAAGCTTGACAGAACAGCTATTTCAGAAGTTATCTGTGTCCTAGTTTAAGGGTTCTTCTCTGGGGGATGCAACAGTCTTGGTAATTAATTAAATGGGGAAGATCTTCTTGAGGAAACAGATACTTGGCAGATCTTGGCTTGGATTCAATGGGCAGTTTCTGTAGAGGAAAGGATTTCCACCTGCAGAGTGCTTTCCTTACCTCACTTCTTCCATGACAGCAAAAATGACCCCCAACACATTGCTACTAGATAATACTGAGAGGCCATTCTAGCTGCCTTGGTCAGCCAGGATGATTTTCCTATCAGTAACCAGGCAACTGGGTTACTGAGGTAAAATAAGACTCTGCCTCACCTGCTGTGTCAACACTGGGAAGTACTCAAGTTTTCCCTCTCTCCCACAGGAAGGACCTCAGGTTGTAATGGGAGTGGATTCAAGCTCACCCTGTTCCTCCTCCTCTCATCAACTGGCTCCAGGGAAAGAAGACAAGCTGATGACATCCTCCTTCTCTGGATGAGGAAGCTTAAATAACTCCCTGCAGCCCCTGCAACCCATCTCCTGGTCTTGAGAGATGGGCCAACCTTGTGAGAACTCCACAGGAACCACAGGCCTCCACCTTGCTGTGCAATTCCCCATTATCAATCCAATAGCAAAAAGCTCTCTGGAAGACCCATCAATGCTGCCTTGCTGGGCCACACCACAGCTCAGCTGCCATCATTCCATGGGGATGAAAGGTCCCACTGAGCAGCTGAGAGGCTACCCAGTCAAGCCCAGAGGGACCCATCAGCCATACCTCCAGACATGCTAGGCATGTCAGGATTGTGCACCCATTCCTAAACTGCATTGGCTTTAAGATCAGGAGGGGGCTGCATCTGAAGCAGATTACCCTCTGGAGTGTGAAGTCACCCCAGGAGACCTGAAAAGAATGCTTCTTTGTCCAATGAGGTGGTAGTCACATTTTGGGGGTAAAGTAACCTGTTCTTCTATGACCGTGGTGACCACCTTGCACTAGCTTGAGCTGGCTGTGCCCCCCCCCCAACACTCCAACTCTATTGTTGCTTTCAAAAGGAAAACTGGCTGCTGCAGTGTCTTGGGAGAGCTAATAGTAAGCATTGCAGGTTATTAAAGTCCCGCTTCTCCACTGAGAAATTAAAAGTTTCTTAAGAGTACAGCCTCATAGCCATCACCTCAACCAAGACACAAATCTTAAAGTTTGTAAAAAGGGTTACATTTTAAACTCAGTATTCCAAAAATGAGGAAGAGGAGGAGGCCAGTAGAAAGGGGTAGAAAACTGGCAGAAATGCAGGTTTAGGAGAAGTGTGAAGAAGACGACTGAGGTAAAAGGCTGGTTTAGGAGCATCATGAAGCAAAAAAAAAAGGTGGCCCAGGAGAACCATGAAGCAGACCTCCTCAATCTCCTGTCTTCCTTTCCAAGGTGGGAAAAGAACTGCTGAAGGGGAAAGAAGATGTCTTCCACTAGGGGTCACAGGAAACCAGGCTCTGTCCCTACCTCCTGTCCCAGTGGGAGGAATTGCCTATCAGTCAAGCATACCTTCCTTCTCTGATAAGAGCTAATTTTTTGTGCAATTAAATGTGTTTTAGTGTTCGGGCCAAATTAGACATTACAGCATCCATGGGTCTGACCCTGTAGATGCCAACACCATTTTAGAGCTGGCCATTTTTAAACAGCTGAGCTCAGCTCTAACATGGCTTTGGTGTCCACTGGTCAGACCTGGAGATGCCATAACATCTAGTTTGGCCCTCAGTGAGCCAGGCTGGGTCTTACTCTTGCACTACTTAATGATTTGGGCACTATTTTGCATTGTACATATCCATTAGGACAACACTACTATTGAAATACATTTTCCCCAGTTTTTTTCTGGATAAAAACAACAATTTGGGGAGAAATTAAACATCTGCAACCCTTACTTTCTCATCAAACCCAACTTCATTTTTCTGCTTTAGCAAAAAACATTTTATTAATAGGCATATTTATGGAATTTGAAAGGATTAATACATTTTCTATAAGCACATATACCGAATACTCAAGTGAGGCACAGCACAAACTGCTGTGCCCTATGCCCATCGCTTATTCCAAAAGAAAAGCAAATGTTTCATTCAAGTTTTTTTCAGTGCTCTGCAAAACTTCCATGAGCAAAATGTCTTCAGGCTTTCATGATACCCATTTTGATAGAACAAAACTTTATCCTTAAAAGTATTAGTCATTTCAAAGAAAAAATATTTCATAGGAATATTTTTCCAGCGCTCTCCAAAGTCTCCCAATTTTTCCATATGAACATATGAAAAAAGTCTTCCAAGGAAAAAAAAGTTTTCCCAAGCCTTCACAGCTCTAATATCTAATTAAAGATGTTTTCAACTCTAATAGCTAATTAAATATCTTTTTGATCACCTCAAATTCTGCCAGGAAAACTTGATTAGCTATCAGGCTTCAAGAAGACTAGATTTCCCTGGCGATATTTCCAGAGCCAATCCTGTGCTTGCAAACTGAGTTTAAGTCCTTTCTCTTCCAAAACAAATGGGGTCAAGAAAGTGAAGTAGGAATATTGTTTTGATGCAGTCCCTGATATACACAGCAAAATAATAAGAGGTTACAAGAAAAATGCAACCCCCAGGACCTATCCAGTCAATATTTAAAAAAATTAAAATTAATTATTGGATGTATGCCAACATCTGCTTAGTTCAGCAAAAACTCTTGCCAAAATCCAGTTGTCAGTTCTGCTGAAGACTGTTTTTATATTAAATGTTGTTGCACTTGTTACAGTCTACATTAATGTGATGAAGAGTTCAAGAATAAAATTAACCCAGCAACAACAGCATACAAATGGCGAAAGTAGTTCTTTAAAAAAATTTCAAGGGAAATGGGGTGGGACAATGAAAGAAACAGAAAAGAGTGACACTATCAGTTATTCCCAAACGAACAGCTTCCTGGATTCAGGCATTTTTCCAGTACAAGCCAACAGGACTAAAACCAATTCAGGGGGACAAGAATATTTTTTTTAAAAAATGCTACAGCAATAAGCTCATTTCTCCCAGACCACAGAGGACCAATGCTCTGACCTGGATAGCCCAGGCCAGCTTGATATTATTGGCCCATTCTGCATCTAGCATTTGCTCCTTTGTTTTACCAAACCCACACTGGAACAGAAAAAGATGCCCCTCAAAACCACATTCAAATACCCCGGGGCCAATACCATACTGACTGCAGAGTCACCCCTGAATGGCCATAAATCTATGTCAACAGTACCATAAAACCGAGAGATCAAAGGAAGTGAAACTGGCATGTAGTGTGGAGACCATAATAAAATCTGACAATTGAAGAAAGTGAAAGTGGCATGCAATGTAGAGGGAATATCTGTTCCAATGTGGGTTTGGTAAAAAAGTGGAGTGAATGCTGGATGCAGAACAGGCCACAGTCAGACCTTGAAAACTAAGCAGGGTCAGCCCTGGTTAGTAATTGGAAAGGAGACCACCAAGGAATTCCAGGGTTGCTACACAGAGGCAAGCAATGGCAAATCACCTCTAAATGTCTCTTACCTTGAAAACTCTACAGGGTTACCGTAAGTCAGCTGCTACTTGACAGCAAAATAATAATATAATAAGGTAAAGGATCAATGGAAATGAGGAAGGACTACTTTTCAAAGAAACTCTAAAGCATTACTCACCTTTGTGATAGATGTAAACACCTTTTCTAGAATTGCATTGGGCTGAACTCTGTGAAGCTTATCTTGAACACCAAAATGAATGGCACATGGTTTGGCAATGAATCTGTTAAACAAACACCAAAGAAAGCATAAAAATCTGAAACATAAAAGTGCACCATATCCAGAACACACAACCTGAAGAGCCAGGAACTTTCTAGTTTAGAAAAAAAGATGGCTAAGGATGGAACATGAGAGATGTTTATAAAACTATGCATGGGGTAGAGAAGGTGGACAGAGGGAAGCTTCTTGTTCCTCTTGCACAACGCTAGAAATCAGAGGCACCCAATGACGTTAATGGGTAATAGGTACAAGACAGACAAAAGGAGGTACTTCTCCACTCAATAAGTAATTAAATTGTGGACTTCACCGCTAGCGGAGGAAGTGATGGCTATGACCAGACAACTTTAACAGGAGGTTAAAAGCATTTATGGAGTATAGGCCTACCAACAGCTACTAGCCATGGTGAGTACAGGAAAGGAAAACACCATACCCAGAGGCAGTTAACCTCTGAAAACCAGTGCTAGGAGGCAGCAGGGGAAGGCCTTTGCCTTTATATACCATGTACTGGCCTGGCCCTCCAGGGCAACTAGATTGACCACTGGTCTGACACAGCAAGACTCTTCTAATGTTCTTAGTATCTCAAAGGACATTTTTAACAGTACTGCCGAGAGAATGGTGGTGGAACAGCTTCAGGCTTTTCTGGATGACGCCTCCATCCTGGACCCATTCCAGTCCAGTTTCTGTCCCAGCTATAGGATGGAGACTGCACTGGCCACCATAATGGATGACCTCTAAAGACACCCGGATTGAGGCAGGTCACTGTTGACAGCAGCATTTGACACAATCAATTACAATCTGATGGCCCACCACCTCGCCGATACTGGGATACAGCGGACAGCCTTACAACGGCTGGTCTCCTTCCTCAATGGTCAGTGATGGAGTGGTGCTTGGGGAGAGGGTGTCTCCACATTACCCTTATGTGGTGTCCCTCAGGGATGAGCCTCTCTCCAATGACATTTAACATCTATATGTGCCCTCTTGCCCAGTAAATCCAGGGGTTTGGGCTTGGTTGTCACCGGTATAATGATGACACCCAGCTCCATCTGTTGATAAGACAGCTGACCAGATTTTGCCCCAGACATTTTGGCCAAGGCTTTGGAGGCTATGGCTGGTTGGTAACAGCAGAGTTGACAGAAATTAAATCCATCAAAGGAGGTCCTGTATCAGAGCCATGGGATAAGGAATCCAACTCCCAACCCTTGGCAGGGCAGTTCTAATGCCAATGCCAATAGTGACAAAGGTCATGAACACTGCCAAATCAGCCTTTTTTCATCTTCACCTGGTCAGGTACCTGGTTCCCTCTCTCTCCTCCCATGACTTGGCTACAGGGATCCATGCAATTGTCGCCTCCAGACTGGATTATTGTAATTTATATACTGTAAATTACTGTAATTTGAGAGTCAGTTTGGTGTAGTGGTTAAGTGTGTGGACTCTAATCTGGGAGAACCGGGTTTGATTCCCCACTCCTCCACTTGCACCTGCTGATGTGACCTTGGTTCAGTCACAAGCTCTGGCACAGCTGTCCTTGAAAAAGAACAGTTTGTGTCAGAGTTCTCTCAGCCCCACCCACCTCACAGGGTGTCTGTTGTGGGGAGGGGAAGGGAAAGGAGTTTGTAAGCCGCTCTGAGACTCCAAGTGAAGGGCGGGATCCAATCTCTTCTTCTTCTTCTAATCTGCTCTACACAGGGCTGCCCTTGAATCTGACCCTGAAACTTCAGTTGATGCAAAATGCAGCAGCATGCCTCCTGTTTGGGGTGTCTTTGCAGGTGCCCATATAGCCAGTGCTTTGCCAGCTGCACTGGTTCCCAATTGAGTACCAGATTATGTTCAGGTTATGGTATTAACCTTTAAGTCAGGAACCAACATATCTGCAGGACCATCTCTCCCAATATGTTCCCTGGAGAGCCTTATGCTTGGCAGAACAGCACTTACTGGTAATCCTCGGCCCAAGAGACACCTGCCTAACCTCAAGCAGAGCCAAAGCCTTTTCAGCTCTGGCTCCAGCCTAGTGGAACAAGCTCCCAATTGAGATCAGGGCCCTGCAGGACTTAGTGCAATTCTGCAGGGTCTGTAAAATGGAACTGTTCCACCAGACCTTTGGTTGAGGCGGCGGCTGCCTCACTATATTGGCCTACCCTGTTCTAACCAGCCCCTCTACCAACTAGCCTATGCTGCTTGTTACATCAATTTGCATCATAGGCTGGGGGCTCACCAAGTATTACCTCGATGGCCCTTCCTGAGTTATAGACAGTTATATCCCGATGTCTAGGCTTTGCCATCTCACCATCATGTAGGTTTGGTTGGGTTTTGAATTTCAACTTAAATTATGTCAATTGTTTTTATGTGTTTGTGGTGCATTGTACTCTGCCCTGAGCCCGCTTGTGGGAGAGGACGGGATATAGTGCCTCACTATATTGGCCTACCCTGTTCTAACCAGCCCCTCTACCAACTAGCCTATGCTGCTTGTTACATCAATTTGCATCATAGGCTGGGGGCTCACCATAAGAACATAAGAGATGCCAATGTTGGATCAGGCCAAAGGCCCATCCAGTCCAACACTCTGTGTCACACAGTGGCCAGAAATACCAGTGCCATCAGGAGGTCCAGCAGTGGGGCCAGGACATTAGAAGCCCTCCCACTGTTGACCCCCCCCCCAAGCACCAAGAAGACAGAGCATCCCTTGCCCCAGAGCCCCTAGCTATACCTTGTGGCTAATAGCCACTGATGGACCTCTGCTCCATATGCTTATCTAATTCCCTTTTGAAGCCGTCCATGCTTGTAGCCGCCACCACTTCCTGTGGCAGTGAATTCCATGTGTTAATCACTCTTTGGGTGAAGAAGTACTTCCTTTTATCCGTTCTAACCCGACCGCTCTGCAGTTTCATGGAGTGCCCACGAGTTCTTGTATTGTGAGAAAGGGAGAAAAGTACCTCTTTCTCTACCTGCTCTTTCCCATGCATAATCTTATAAACCTCGATCATGTCACCCCCTCAGTCATCTTTATTTATAAGTATTTATTTATATTTATTTATACATTCAACTTATATACCGCTCTAATCCTTGACAGGTCTCTGAGGGGTTTACATATGGTTTTCCAAATTCCAATTCACCTAACTAGGGCCACATTTGTCTATAGGGTAGTGTCTGCCTACCAGCACCCAGGGCTTGTTGGTATCCGGCTTCCTCCAGTGGCTTCGGATGTCGGCGTCCTTCTGTATTACCTAGATGGCCCTTCCTGAGTTATAGGCAGTTATATCCCGATGTCTAGGCTTTACCATCTCACCATCATGTAGGTTTAGTTGGGTTTTGAATTTCAACTTAAATTATGTCAATTGTTTTTATGTGTTTGTGGTGCATTGTACTCTGCCCTGAGCCCGCTTGTGGGAGAGGACAGGATAAAAAACTCATAAATAAATATACACAAATGTTCACCCACCTAAAGCAGTTTTACTGTTTAAATAACATGTGAAACGTTCTTCAAAAATTCAAACACAAGAAGATACCTGAAAATGAGAACCTTTCAGTTCAGAGACACAACACAAAAGCAATGCAGGCTTTAAGGGAGCCAGGGTAGTGTAGAGGTTTGAGTGTCTGATTAGGATTCCCAAGTTTCATCCCTCACTTTGCATGGAAACACACTGGGTGAATTTGGGCCAATTCACTCTTTCAGCCTAACCTACCTTACGTGGCTGTTGTGAGAAAAGGGGAGAGTTGCAAGCTACTTTACATCCAGATATAGTGGCGGTCTTCAAATGAATAAAAGAACGCACACAGGGGAGGAACCTTTTGAATGCTCAAAGTGTGGAAAGAGATTCAATATGCATAGCCATCTTAATATCATCAAAGAACCCACGCAGGTGACAAACCATTTGAATGTTCCGAGTGTGGAAAGAGATTTAATATGCATAGCCATCTTCAATGGCATAAAAGAATGCACACAGGGGAGAAACCTTTTGAATGCTTAGAGTGTGGGACGAGATTCAATACAAGTTGCTATTTTCAACATCATCAAAGAACTCACACGGGAGAAACCATATGAATGCTCAGAGTGTGGAAAGAGATTTAATATGCATAGCCATCTTCAATGGCATAAAAGAATGCACACAGGGGAGAACCCATTTGAATGCTCAGAGTGTAGAAAGATATTTAGTACAAGTCGCTATCTTAAATATCAACAAAGAACTCACACAGGGGACAAACCTTTTGAATGCTTGGAGTGAGGGAAGGGATTCACTGAAAGTGGCAGTCTTCAACGACATAAAAGAACTCACACAGGGGAGAAACCTTCTGAATGCTCAGAGTGTGGGAAGAGATTCAGTTGGAGTGGCTATCTTCAATATCACCAAAGAACTCACACAGGAGAGAAACCGTTCAAATGCTCAGAGTGTGGAAAGAGATTAAGTCGGAGTAGCCTTCTTCAAAGGCATAAAAGAACACACACAGGGGAGAAACCTTTTGAATGCTCAGTGTGGAAAGAGATACACTCAAAGTAGCCATCCTCAGAGGCATAAAAGAACGCACAAACGGAGCAACTTTTTGAATGCTCAGGGCGTGGGAAAAATTCAACTTGAGTGGCTTTCAAAAGCATCTGACAAAGCCCACAGGATAGAAACATTTTGAATGCATACAGTGCGGAAAGAGATTCAGTCAGAGAGTTTGGAAAGAAATTCAGGTTCAACACCACCAGAGAACCTAAACACAAGATAAATTTTTTGAATGCTTGTGGTGTTGAAAAAGATTCAGGGTGGCCGCCTTCAATAGCATCAAAGAACCCATACCGAGGGGGGGGGGCTTTTCAGTGCTCAGAATGTGGATAGAGATTGAGTTGGAGTAGCACTTTTTGAAAATATCGAAGAACCCACAGAAGGAGAAACCATGTAACCAGACTGTGAACCCTTTAGGGGTTCATGATATTATGTGAAATTGTCCTTTTTTTGAAATGGTATATTGACTGATACAACAGACGTGATTGATAAAGATCTCGAAATAAGGTTACATCTGGAA